TGTGTGTGTTCTCTCTGTGTGTGTGTGTGTGTGTGTGTGTTCTGTGTGTGTGTGTGTGTGTGTGTGTGTGTGTGTGTGTGTGTGTGTGTGTGTGTGTGTGTGTGTGTGTGTGTGTGTGTGTGTGTGTGTGTGTTCTGTGTGTGTGTTCTGTGTGTGTTCTGTGTGTGTTCTGTGTGTTCTCAGTTTACTCGTGTCAGCGCCGGGCTGGTTTGGGCATGATGAGGACTTTGACAGGCTTGCTGAACGGAATGGTTCCCTCTACGGCGAGCTCTGGGGGGGGGAAGCCGTCGATGCTGTCGCTCCATCCCAGCCTGGAGGCCGGAGAGGAGGAGAGGGAGCTGGAGGAGGAGAGAGAGGTGGAGGAGGAGCTGTAGGCCAGCAGGAGGCGCACCTCGATCTGAGACGGCTCTGAGGGAGAGGAGGACAAGATGACGTCACACTGAACACGCTGATGAAGAATAGCAATTTCAAACATTATACTCTTGAGAATCACTGTTTTCAACAAAAGTTACTTTATATGTTTTGCTTTTAGCTAGGTGAAAGTAGCATTGCTGCCAGGGTGGAAAGTAACTAAGTACATTTACTCAAGTACTGTATTTAAGTACACTTTTGAGATCTACATTTTTTGCTACTTTTACTCCACTTGAGTAACATTTTATAGGACTTTTACTTATTTTTTACTTAGATGCAATATTAGAGACATGTTCCACCTCTGATTTCTGCTAATGCGCGGAGAGAGTATCCAGCAGTCAGAGGCTTCACACAACATTTAGGACAGCACATTTATAAGCAACATTTGAGTAGGATCAATGGCTGTGCTTTGATGCAGACATATGCCTGATTCATGAGGCAGTCTTAATGTTAACACACCTATTGAAGGTAAGAAACTCTTTAAATGCCAGGTGAACAGAGGCTGAGCTGTGTGTCTGACCTGTCCAGGCGCTGTGGGACAGGTACACCTGAGTGATCAGTCTGTGTCTGTCGGGGCCCGGCTTCCTGAAGTCTCCAGGTTTAGGATGGATCACATGACTCTGGCCGTCTGGATACAGAACCTGCAGACACAAGCAGTTCATCCAACCAGCAGTTATACGTCTGTCATGTGACCAGGAACCACCAATCCCAGGCGGCTCTAAATGTCAGATCCTTTAACCAACAGAGCTGTACACCATTGGTTCTAAATCACTGTTACAAACTCAGAAGCAATGACCCACTGCCATTTTCCCTGATCGCTAAATACTTCTTAGACACCTCCAATATCTAACAGCTTGTTACAGTCTATAAAAGGCAAGATAAGATGGAGCTTTATTGATCCCCAAAGGAAATGCAGGTGTTATAGCAGCAACAGAATAAAGAGAAACACAGAGTACACATGAGAATACACACAGGGATATTAAGAATAAAATAAAGATAAATAGAGGGATAAACATGTATTAACAGTACGAAGAGTAACAACAACATTGAAATGTGTTCAACTCTGATCAGGTGAATGTTCATATATACAGATATATGAGAAAGGTTAAATATATTGTACATTTCAAGGTGCAGGTACCAGAAAGTGCTCGTTAAGATCACTGAAGACCAGATCTTTGAAGATGACAAAAGCCCACAAGCTCAAGTGAGAACTATGAACTGACCTGCACTTTCACTGTGTTCTGGGGGTCCTGGACGTGCTCCAGAGTTGCATCGATGTCCAGGGCCACCACCAGGCCGGTGGTGAACTTCAGCGGGTTGTCAGACTCTCCCGTTGGCTCAATGATGGTGGCTGTCGCCCGGTGGATCTGTCGGCCAGCGGGGGGGGGGATTTCATTAATAGGAAAAAGCTATTTGCTTATCAAACTTCATGACAGACTGCTCAGTGTACCTGCTCCGGCAGGGGGAGCTGCAGCAGGCCGCTCTGCCTCAGGGTGCTCTGCAGGATCCTCACCAGCTCCACCGGCTTACAGGACGACAGCCGGGGCAGCAGCTCCAACAGCTGATCCACAAAACTGTCCTGCAGGTAGGGCAGCTCTGCCAGAAACAGCCTGATCAACACAGAACATAGGAGAAACAGTAAGAGACAAAGGAGGATCATATTCAAATCTATATTGGCCGGTGAAATCCAGTCAGGAGTAGTGAATTCTTCCACAAAACAAGTTCAACTCTTTATAAAACATAAAGCGGTAGTAGAGAAGCCCATCTAGTCCAAATCTATTTTCAGTAAATTCAACTAATTAATATTGTAGTTTCTCTCTTAAGTAAGACAGTTATCTTAGCCCATTCAGGTTTCAACTAATATGTCAGATCATTCCTCGAGAGGCAGATTGAAAGAGAGGACTGAGGAAGAAATCACATTTCTCAGACACAAAAGTAAGGCAAAGGACCGAAAGTGAAGACAGAAGAGGGAGCTGTCCTTTCAAGAGACTCGTTTTCAGGTCATTCACACAAACTCACCGACATCTCCTTCTCCAACTCATTACTTCTTTTGAATGAACGCTTCTGTCTGTGTGATATTTGAAAATGTTCATTCCTATCTTGCACTTTAGTTGTGCTATAACTTGACGTGTTTTATTGGATCTTTGGCTTTTCTTTCCTATTTTACTGTGTATATTTACTGGGATATAAGATAATACCGGGACTGTTTAAATTCAAATCTCAAATGTCCTAGTTAAGAGTTTGAAAGACAAACCCAGATATATGAAGATCTTACCTCTGAAATGACTCAATGTCCTGCAGAAACTTCTCACAACTGCTGATGAGAGGATCCAACCTGAAGAGAAATGATCAAATAAGATTGATATGAATATGCATGTGGTCCACATTAAGTATTACATTGATGTGATGAGTGTGTGTGCGTGTGCGTGTGCGTGTGTGTGTGTACTGACCCCTGCCTGGAGCGAGCAGTGAGGATGAGCTGCAGAGCTTTGGCCTGCAGGCGGACATGATGGATGGTGGCCACCTGCCTGCTCTCCAGACCGCTGTACAGGAACTCCAGCTTGTAGGTTTCCTCTAAGATCTGAAACACAAACACACATTCAAACACTCAAGCATCTCAGGTGATGTGAGTGAGTGAGTGAGTGAGTGAGTGAGTGAGTGAGTGAGTGAGTGTGTGTGTGAGTGTGAGTGTGAGCGTGAGTGTGTGTGCGAGTGTGAGTGCGAAACTCGATTTTGACAGAATAACAACTGGTGACTTCTAGAAAGGTGTGAGTAACATTCTGTTTTTAGACTTCTCTGTTTCAGTGTGTGTACTCTGTATAAATGCTCTGTAGTTGATCTGACTGAAATTGTGATTTTAAATCTCAAAACCGCTACAGTATCTGTCAGGCAGAAACTTGGGTAAGTAATTTGACTGAAACCTTAAAACTGAACTAACTGACTGCTAGGGTTAAACTTTGATTTAAACATTTGTAGAATACTAAGAGCTTTATTGAGTAGGTGTAACTGTATTAAGGGTTAAACTCATAACTTTATAACTTAGGGTTTAATGTAATTGGAAAACCATTGTGACACTG